CTGTAATATCATTTCAATATTAATTTAGTATCAAAAAGATATCATAAAGATATTATTACTTTTAAAATATTAATATCGTTAAATTCAATTTTATAATATTTTAATAATATGTAACCTAATTTAAAAGTTAATTTAAATAGATCAAAGTTATTATTTATTTATTACAATAACAATTTTAATTAGATATAAATAAAGTATGTATAGGTTCAAACTGAATGTTATACAACAGATCAATAATTCTATAATAAATTAATTCAATAAATTAAAAGCATGAGTTAGAGCTCCTAATGAGTTGAGTTGAGTCGAGTCACGAGTCAAAAACCTTAATTTTAAAGTACTTTTTATTAAGTTAGAATATAATTAAACGAAAATTTACACTTATGCGAGTCAAAAATGCGAGTTTATGCGAGTCATTTTCGGAGCTCTAGCATAAGTTAAATACAATAGGAATCTAAAAAATTAATGATTGTAAGTCAAAACATTATGCTTTAATACTCAAGAATCATAATTCATCAACCCAAAGTTGAAGATTAATCAGGTACCTTGCTTTAGATTCAACGACACTGCCCAAGTTAGATGGGGTGTCACAAGTACGCTTTAAGAAGACTCATTATGACTCTCTTGTAAAAAAGATAAGTATATTCAAAAATACTAACATGAATTCACCTTAGAAGTTTGGCGGGAAACCCATATAAACAACTGCAGTTTTATCATTACCAAAATCATTGAACTTAGGGATACAATGAAAAAGTTCATGAGAATGACGGCTTTAAAAAAAATACAAATATATTCTCAACTTTGATAATGCATCCTTATTCTTTGGCCTGGAATTCTCATATAACTAAATTATTGTTGTTCGTAATTTGATCTATTGAATCTACCATAAATTGCCAGGCAAAGCGAACTTTTATTAGACAACTATAGCTTCATCATCAACAAACATTGCAATGTGTTTAGACGAATGACAACCTGTTTATTAATAAATTTTAAATGGGCAAACGTGATCCTAAAACCCATTATAAGGTAGGCTGCAAGAAGTGCAAAGCAACCTACCTAACCCATGAGTGGGTCTAATGGTTAGGGAATCAATTATACGCCAACCACATACAAGTTGGTATGGAGTTAAAGTCTTACAAACTAAAAATTATTTTTGCCACTTAATTTTCCAATAATCAATGTTATAAAAAAGTTACTTATGACTTAAGCCTACTTAATTATATATAAAATGACACTTCGAACAGACAGAACTCATGATATATGAGAATATCCCATCATGCCTATTTTAACCCTTGATTAAAGGATTTTCATTGCGTTATCAAACTGATTATATAAGTTTTACGCCTATATAACATAAGCTTATAACTATATATTCAATCAAATAAGTCCGCCTTTTCCTATAACACACTAAAGCTGCTGCCCAAAATTAGGGAATTTTACCATTTGCCAAAACTGAAATGGTAAAATTAATTTAGGAAAAATACTTAATTCCGAAATGCCGAAACTATTCCGAAATTCTGATTGGCTGTTATAATATCACGTGACCAAAATTAAATTTTTACCAAAATTATAACTGTATTTTGATACCACAATTCTGGCTCCGTAGCGATCTTCCTGACACGTGTAGCTTCGTTTTAAGCCTATGTTAGCTTTGTGTAACGTATATACCATATAAGGAAATTATGCGTCTTTATGCACTGATATTACACAAAGTGAACATAGGCTTAAAACGAAGCTACACGTGTCAGGAATATCGCTACGGAGCCAGAATTATGGAATTAGAATACAGATAAAATTCTAGCAAATTTATAAAGTCATGTGATTTTATAATAGGCCAATCAGAAGTTTCGGACAATTTCGGGAGTTTCGGAAAGATTTCGGGATTTCGGAAGAATTTTGGGATTTCAGAATTAGTTTCGGAAACAAAATTCTGGCCGAAATTATTTCGGAATTAGAAAATAATTTCGGGCGGCAGCTTTATAACACACTATGCATGACGGCAAACAGTATAGGAGGCAGAATCTACTTTTCAGAAAGAAAGTTTTTTTTTTTTTAAAAAAAAAAAATGTACAAAATNAGTATTGTTATTTTAAGTTAAAACAAGTATATGATTCTGTACAAAGCTTAAATGAAATCGGTGCTTTTGAACATTATAAGGTATTTATCTATTTATTGCAGTTGTTTAACTTTGTAAATTTATATAATAATGAGATTTCAAAAGTTTTTAGAGTTCCAGTAGTGATGACGAAAGTCCAATTGCTATCTATAAAAACATTGTTAATTTATTTAATTTAACGTAAGTAATTGATTGTTGATTGAAATCACCTGAATCAGACGAAGATGTAGAATTATGCAACGCTATTTTAGATAAATTATCTCTTATTAATATTGAGGAACTTAGTTGGAAGGACCCTGTAGCCAGCCTTGTGCTTGATGAGAATTCGAATCTAATAAAACCCTTAGAAAAGATATCACTGCAGCAATTATCTGTATATTTTTTTTAGTATTGTCTTATCATTTGCGATCTTTCACTGTACATAATGAATGAATTAATTTTATTATTGCACTACAATTAGGAGCCAAAAGGCTTTATCTTCCCGAAATTAGAGATGAAATAAATACAAAATGTATTATGCTTCAAAAGAGTTCTTTCATAGTATTAATTTTTCACCAGTTCCTGTGAAATTTTTGCATGATTCAAAATGGAAGGAGGTTCCTTCTAAACAGAAACAAGTTGTTGATAATATTTTGCTAGTGCTGTAAGTGAATTTTTTTATTAATTTACTATAATTTGATTAATTTAATTTAACGCTAATTATTTTTAGTAAAGAAGTATGGAACAACCATACTTATTCAGATCATAAATTTACCAAAAAATTGAACGAAAATTCATATTTCTCAGATGTAATAAATCCCTTGCTTTGTGCTTCTTTAAGTGGAATTGATCGTGACAACACATATTTACCGTGTAAGTATTATTAACAATTAACATTTATTGGCAATTATAACCATTTTTTTAATTGTATTAATAGAAACTTATGTACTTAGAAACTACTCGTATTTGTTGTGTATCACAAAAAAAGAAAGATGATTACATGAAACTTTGGCGTCAGTGCAATGATGGAATTACATGAGTTTATAATTCTTGTTCACCTGCAAGGAATCAATTTTGCTTGTTGGGATTACAAACTTTTGGTACAAATTTAATTAATTTAATTTATCAATTTTATAATTACTTGTGTAAGGTATTTAAATACATTTTGGCTATTGTACGTGATTTATATTTGAATGCAATCCATAGCGAATCAATTTTTTTAAAAAAATATTCTATACATATTCCGGACATTTTCCGTATTAGAAGAAAATTATTAATTTTTTTTTTTAAAAAAATTCCATACATATTCCGGACATTTTCCACATTAGAAAATTATTAATTTTTTTTTAAAAAAAAATTCCATACATATTCCGGACATTTTCCGCATTAGAAAATTATTAATTTTTTTTTAAAAAAAATTCCATACATATTTTGGTTATTAATTTTTTTTAAAAAAAATAATTCTATACATATTCTGGACAATTAGTAATTTTCTGTACGTATTCTGGACATTTAAAAAATTATGAACAGATGATGTGATTATTTTTTAGGACGAAAAATGGTTATTTCCTGGATACGCTCAAATATACCAGGACATTTTCTGGACATTTTGTAGATATTTTCCGGACAATTCTTTTTTATAGGGGTGTTTATTTTCAAAAAATTCATAATTTAGATTGGAAGAAAGTTCATACCAATGTAAAAAGATTAGTAAAATACCATCATGTACAATTTATAGAGCAGTTGTAATTAAAGATTGAACAATTGGAGTGGTTAATTTAGAGGAAATAAAAGATTATGAGAGCATTTTAATAAAATATAAAAAATTTTTGATTATTAATATTATAATATTTACAGGAATAAATTCTTAAGTATGATTTAAGATACGTGGAAAAGTTCTTCTGAGTCAGCAATTTCAAAAAATGAGTATGATTAGTTAAAGGGTGCTCTCTCAATGTTATTTACTAGAGCAAAAACTAATACTGTAATGTTCATAATATTAACTCATAGTGGAATTATTTGTCTCACTGGTAAAAAAACACAAAAGCAATAATTTTTTAATAATTTAATCTCTTTAATTTTTACAAATTTAAGAATTACATGACACATGTATTGTTTAAGAAAACCTACAAAATCTACTTAAGAAATTTGAAAGAACTCTTTAAATTCAGGATCTTGCTCTAATTTTTGCATGTGTTCAATAATTAAGCTTGTACAAGCTTGTATTCCATCATCATATTTAGTTCCAAGTAGGACAACTATTCCATCCAAATTTCTTCCTCTTCTCAAGCTAAATCTTAATGGAGTTCCATAACCAAAATCTAAATCATATAATGAAAATTTAGACCAATTGGTCAAGACAAGATCTTTGCCACAATAGTAATTACAATTTAATTTAATTTCACTTTTATTTGGTTGTTGCTCAATCCAATCAATTGAAGATCTTATTTTTGAGTCATTTACTTTATCAATTGCTTTTCGTATTTGAAGTGCAAGATTTGGTTGAGATCCATTTATCAACTCAGAAACAAGCATTTTTGGAACCGCACCTCTAGGAAATATCAGAAATATAAATATCAAAATTTATCAGTGATTTAAGATAAGACATATCAGTTAACTTACAAGATACAATTACCAAAATAATTTGGTGGAAAGAATGGTTTGAGTCTTCTTCTTCCATCACAAGGAAATGCACAAATAACTTCTGCATCTAAAGGAATTCCACGTGCTCTAGTTACCAATCTCCAAAGGTGAGCTACAAGTGCATCATTAGCTGAAACCAAATTATGTTCACCAGAATAAACATTGCATAATTTTTTTAAATTATCTCTATTAATATGAAATAATTTTGTTATCATCGGTGGCATCGGTGGCATCGGTGGCATCGCTTGAGAAGCCTCAGTCGGAAGTTTAAACAGCTTGAATTCAGGATGCTCATGAGTTGGTGGGTTACCACTAGCCTTTAGTAAAGAACGGTCATGTACAGGAGGAATGATTGGTTCTTGACGAGCCTTACGTCCCCAATTATCTAAAAAACAAAATAATGAGATACCATCTGCAATTGTATGATGCATAACCGTTCCTAAAACAACAGATCCATCAGCTAATGTGGTATGTTGTACCATAAGTAATGGCACATCCAAAGGAAGTGATATTAATCCATGAGTTACAGGTAAATCAGGTACAAGATGATCTGGAATTGAAGAAGGCTGCCAATTTTTTTCTTCAAGTTGTTGAATTGTAATATCTGGGCTTTTGGCTATGATAAATGGTATACCTTGATCACAACATGCAATGCTTAATTTACCATCAATTTCTTTTTTTAAACGACCAGCCAATGGATAATAATCAGATAAAATATCTCCCAATGAATCACGTAGTTTACTAGGATCCATAAAATCATTTTTGTTATCAACATTCTTGTAAAAATGATGAGCAAACATGTAAAACATTGGAAGTAATAAATCATGATTAGATAGAATTATTGGTGAATGTTGTGTTGGTTGAGTTGGCCTGACATTATAAGTTTCTTTAATAATAACAGTCATTTTGAACAAAAATTTGCGGTAAAAAAAAACTATAATTTAGAATAATTTTGTGAATTTATAAAGTTTACGCAGATTTTTCCCAAGCCAAATTAGGTATCGCTATCCACTGATTTTACCCAACTTGGATTTTCCCGAAATTATTATTATGATCGGACATTTATCAATCTATAGTATAGTGGTGATCCGCTTTTCTTTTCGCAACCAACTCTTATCCTTTTTTATTTCTTTTCCCCTTACTTTTCATACCGAATTAGTTAAATTTTACTTGTGTGATATATCCCGATTTCAATCTCTATTTGCGAATAAGAGGAAGAAAAGGAGTTGCGTAAAAACGTGAAGCGGGTAATGGACGTTATTGTTGAATTATTAAAGGATAGGATAGATGTTGAGAAGGAACCAGCGATGAAAAGGCAATNATAATGCGGGCCAAAAACCGTCCGTTTAGTTTCGCAACATTTTATTTTTTAATAATTATTTATTTAATTTATTATTTTTATTAATTATTATTTTATCTATAATCTACATATTTTAATTATAAAAATTGGCAGTTTAATTTATATTAATCATTTATTTTTTTTATTGATAATAAAAAAAAAAGATTATTAACTCATATTTTGAGTTTTAGCAAATTAGTATAGATTTGAAATGTGATAATTTGATTTTTAGCAAATTAGGTCTATTTTAGCAGGAGCAAAAAGTACTTAAATTCATGCAAATCAGTTATGAGTTATATATGTGATGTCTGGGGTCCTATTAAAGGATATAAAGTATCAGTATAAATAAAATAACTTACCGATAAAGAATCAACGATCTTATTTCCGCTCCTAGAAGGTATCATTAATTCTTTGGTTATATTATCTAATTCTTTAATGGCGGACAAAATTTTTCCACCTTAAAGGTTTCTCTTATGAAATCAACTAAGATATCGAACCCTCCATTTCTTATTAATTCTGAAATATTAACAGCTACAAGCTGTTGGCTTAGAATCTTTTGGACAAATTCTTCATCAACGTAATCTATAAGTTCTTTTTGAGATAAACTTCCAGTAGATACTCTATAATTAAATTAATAATTAATACAAAAACAGTATTATTTGGTTAGCTATGAAACAATTAAATAAATACCTGTTTTTTCATATTTTTTTAAATTCTTCTACAGAAGTTAAAATAATTTGATTAAACTTGTTTTTGAAATCTATAAAAAATTTTTGGGTTTTTTCAAGGTAATTTTTTGCTTCGTTTGAATGTATTTTTATTTTGAAAATTTTTGTTATCAACTCATTAAAAACTTCACCACGTGACTTCTTGCACGTAAAAAAAGACACTTAACACTTTTGTCCTATAGATGAATTTTATCCTAAAATATTAAAAATACATTATTTAAAAGATTTAGACATAATAAATATTATCATATTAATTTAATACTTACATCCGTAATTTTACTGGATGATGAGATAGCAACATCCGTTTTGTTCATTTCTAGTGTCAATCTTAAAGTTTCCAGATGGTTAACGAGCTAAGCAACTATTTCTAAATTTGACTTTGATTGAAATACTTCAGGTTTTTTATGATCTTCCATCTTATCCACATCATCATCATCATCATTATCATCATCATCATCATCACTACTTTTTTTATTTACTACTACAACTTCTTTATCGGCAGATTCGGCAACTTCTTTATTACTATGATTTTTACTTTTTTTCATCAACTGATTGGCCTTCTCAATGTTAATATCTCTTCTTTTTTTCATAATTTGTTTTCTTTTCGATCCTATTATACATATTTTTGGTATTTATTAATTATTCTTCTTACATATAACTACCGTAAAATCTTGAATTTAAGCACCTCTTTTTGCAGTCATGTGATTAAGGTTGCTTGCCGAAACCTAGGGGTTTAGGCAAGATGGCATTTCGCCGAAAAGTGAAATTCTGCCAAAACTATATTAAAGTTATATTAAAAAACTGGCGAAACTTTGGAGAAAGGCGAAACTGCCAAAACTTATTATAAATGCCAAAACTGCCAAAACTCTGCTGAAACTATAATAAATCTATAGTAAAATTTTGACGAAACTAATCGTAAGATTTTGAAGAGGTTTAGACA